CGGGTCCATGGCCTTGATGCTCTCCAGCTCCTTCCTCCTCTTCCCCAGCGGCTCCAGCAGGTCACGGAATCGCCGCCGGAGCCTCTGCTCGTGCCCGTCGGCATCCGGCACATCCCCGGCAGGGGGGGGCCCCTGCCACCCTAGCTCCTCCAGCTCCCTCATCCGTGCTCCCACTTGCTCTTCCAGCCTCTGGTGGGGAAGAGTTGTGTGAAGCGGGGGGCAGAGCCGGGCTGGGGACAGGCCAGCCCCCGTTCAGGGACACAATCTGGCACCTTGGACCCCCCCCACCCTGAATGGGGGGCAGCGCACCCTTACCCAAAGGTAAGGTGAGGTGCCATCACCCTTCCCCCCCCCCCAGCTGCTCCAGCACCCACCGTCAGCCTCTTCAGCAGCAGGTTGGTGGCGGTGAGGTCCTTGGCCTGCTCGGTGGCACGCAGCTCCTCCTCCGCCTGCCCCAGCCACCTCTCCAGCTCGCCGTAGCTCTGCTCGTACAGCAGCGAGCGGTTGGCCTCAAAGAGCTGCCGTCCCTTCTCCTCGGCGGGGGCATGCAGCCTGTCCCCCTGCCCCCGCAGCTCAGCCAGCTGCCGTGCCACCACCTCGCCGTGCTGCGGCTTGCAGCTCGCCAGCTCCTTCCCCTCCTGCCGGCAACGCCAAAGAGGTTTGGTGGCCGCCACAGCGTGGCTCCATGCCAGCACAGGGACCTCCCACCCGTCTGGGGGTTGGTGAGGCTTTTACCAGTGCCAGAACCCACCGTCTCGATCTTCTGCAGCCAGGACTCGCTGGGCACCAGCTCAGCCATGAACGCCTGGTGCTTCTGCCACTTGCCATGGAGGCCACGGGCTTCACCATACGAGGCATCCTGTGCCGTCAGCATCTTCTCCTCCACCCAGGCATCAAGCTGTGGATGAGGGGTGTTAGGGCTCGGCTGGTGGGGACCCCTGCCTGTCCCCGGCCACGACGTGTCCCTACCTCCCGGCAGCTCTGCAGGAAGGTCTGCAGCTCGTGGTTGTCCTGCAGCAAACCCGCTGCCTCCTCCACCTTGGCCGCGATGGCCCCGTGCCTGGCAGGGTGACCAGAGATGGGCAGCATCAGCCCTGCTGCCCACCCGCTGCCCACCCCCCCGCCTGCCCACCGGCCCCTCGCCGGACTCACCGCTCCTGGAGGGCCTGGCACTTCTCGGCGATCTTCTCCGCAAAGATGTTCTCCTCGGCCACCAGCTTGGTGCCGCTGGCCACCACCTCGGGGACCTTCTTGGCGCTGCTCTCCACACCAGCACGGAAGCCCTGGAAGCGGTGCAGCGCAGCAGCCGAGCCCCCTAGCGTGGTGGGCAGCTCCAGATGGGCCAACGTGTACTCCTGGGGGGGCATGGTGGGGGGTCAGTGCCTTTTCAGGGTGCCCATGAGCCAGGCATCCCCCCTGGAACCCCCCCTTGGGCACCCACCTGATTGGTGAGGAGGATCTCCGCCTGCTTGGCGTTGTGGAGGAACTCTTGGAAGTCGCGGCACTGGGCAAGGAAGCGGTGCCGGGCTTCGGCCACCCTGCCCAAGGTGGCCCAGCCATCCTCCACACCGCGTAGGCGCTGCCGCAGCCCCTCGTACTGGGGGTCCGCCTGCTCCCCCACCCCCCGCTCTCCCGCCTCCACCAAATCGGCGAAGGCGGCCGCGTGCCCTTCCACGTCTTGCCGGGCAGCCTCGTGCCGCCGCAGCAGCTCCTCCGCCTCAGCCAAAGAAGCCGGCAGCTCATCGGCGGCCGCCACGGCTTTCTGAGCGCCGAAGAGCCATGCCTGGAAGTCATCCAGGTCCTGCAGGAAGCGCCGGAGCTGCCCGGCTTCCCCCAGGGAGGCTGCCTGCTCCCCTAGGGCCTCCTGCAGCTCCTCCCAGGCGGCCACCGCGGCCGCCAGCCACTCAGCCACCTCCCCGGCCGCCTCGGGCCGCTCCACGACCAGGCGCTCAGCCTGGGAGCGCAGGGCGGCCAGGCGGTCCTCGGCGACCACCAGCTCCCGCTCGATGCCGTAGAGCTTGCGTTGGGTAGCCAGGATGCCAGCCAGGTCCTGGCCCAGCTCAGCTGTGGCCTGAACCGCCCGCGTTTTGCTCTGCAGCCATTGCCGGGTCTCCTCGCACTCCAGACGGTAGTTGAGGAGGCGCAGCGCCGAGCCCACCGCCCGGTGACGCTTGGATGCCAGCTCCCTGAACCGGTCCCACCTGCGGGGCGGAGGCGGGGGGCAGC